TATAGCTACTTATAAAAAAAAAATGAGCATTAAAATTGAATTAATAAATTAATTTATAAAAATTATATCTATTAAGATAGTATGAATTATCATTCTAATTATTGTTATTGTTATTATTATTATTGTAAATTTAGCACTTTTACTTATTAATTACTAAATAAATATTCAACCTTTCAATGAAAGGATTTAAAAATGTAATTTAAAAAATTGTATCGTATTGTGATCTATCAATAAATTTTGAATGTATATCCAAAATACTATTGGATACACTATCCACAATTTAGTAAAATATTTAAACTATCGTATCTATTTAAATACACTACTAGTATTCAAAATACTTTTCGATAATAAAATTTAATGGTATTTTATTGTTATTAAATACAACATACAAAGTACCTAGATATATATATATACACACTTAATACTAAGTAAATATGGTAAACAGATACTTAAAACCAAACGTATGCATAAAAAAAAAAGAATCTAAAATTTATCACAACAATTAGGTTGGTATATATTTTAAAAAACGAAGTTTACGATTATTATAACCATAAGAAGTTGAATGTGACAGCAGGTTTGTGCCTTAGAGAAGAACTTGGGTGTTCAAATCCCCTTTCCCAAAATGTTAATGAATAAAAAAAAAAGTATTGCTTAATATTTCTAAATAATTTATGTTAAATATCATAAACATTTACCAGGGTTCTTTATATAATCTATTTTCGATCTATCTAATAGCATAAAATTATTTATTACCAAAGTTATTATCTTGTGAAATAAATACATTTAAAATCCGTGGTAATAGACATATTAAATTTCCACGAAGTTCAAAGATGGTATATAATATCGTTTCTCAAGCTTTTTAGTGTCGCGACCCTCAAAATAGGTATAAAATATAGTCAATCTCTTCGCGATCCCCCCCTCCATCCTAATATATTAGGTAAAAATTTGATTTGAATTTACATTTTGTAAATCAACGTTTTATTATTTTTGATCTACGCGACCCTAAGTCAAGGTGTTCGTGACCCCCTGGTTGAGAAACGCTGGTATATAATATATAATATTTACCCCCATCATGAGGCCCTCATTCACCACTGAATGCTTCACAATATTAGAAGCCCTTTTATCTTTTTTAACTCTTTCCCTTAATCATAACCTCATAGTTTCTGACTCTTCATCAAGTTTTCAAGTCTGTCTTCAAATTTCTTTAATTCCCTTCCCTCTTCCATATTCACCAAGATCGAACTGCTTCTATATGAATTAAATAATTTAGGTTTTGTTACAGAAATTCTCTAGGTTCCCGGCTATTCTGGCATAAAATGCAATGAAACAGAGGACTCCATTGCAAAATCCACTTCACCTCTTTGTAGTCCTTCTCCACCTTTGATTCCCTGGAACAATTTTTGTTCCATGTTAATATTTCATATTCATAAATTATGGCTTAACCTATGGATCCTAACAATTTGGCCCTCACCTATGCTACTTGGTACAAAATTATATCACCCACGATACTCTCACATCCCTGGTTTTACAACCTCAAACTAAATAGAAACACAATTATCTCTTTCTCACGACTAAGATTTGGACACACTCTACTCCATAGGTGTAATCTGGGGACGGGGGAGGGGCGCAAGAAAGGGCAACTGCCCCTACATATATTTTATTGAGGGGGCAATAGTATCGTTTTGCACTCCCCCCCCCCCACTTTAAAAGTTATAACTTATAATTTAATTTCTATTTTATCATAAAAAAATTAAACAGCATAATGGATTGTATAATAATTAATAAAAATAGATTTATCGTTTTGACTTTTTGAATGCCTCAGTTTATTATTTATTAATAATATCATTATATGAAAGCTCATATCGTAATACGTGGAATTGCAGAGAGATGACAGTGATTGCATGACGGGTAATTAGTTATTACCACAATTGCACAATGCGAACTAAGATTATTATCGTGTTTATTTTTATCATTTATAAATGTAAATGCCTATGGCACCAGTTTTTTAGTTTTACTACTGCTTGCCCCCCATTGACTCCAAGTTACGCCACTGTTCTGCTTCCATCACACTCTTACAAACTGTCTCTCGAAGACTTTCCTCTATGCATGCAACATGAATACAATGCGATCTATGATATCCCTCACTTATTCTTTCATTGTTCTTCTCTTGTTCACCAACATAATATCCTCTCTCCCTTAGGTTAGGATATCCTCTTTCAATATCCTATTTAACACCCAGCATATTTTCTTCACACAAATTTTACCAATTATCATCTCACTAATATCCTTCTTTTATCAGGCTGGTTTAAAAATTTAATTATTTTTGTTGTCTTGGTTTTGTTTGTCTTTCTTATTTTAATTTATTTATATTTAGTTTTTTTTTTTCACTTTCTTCTTGTTATATTTTAATATTGTTATTCATTGCACTTAACTATACTTAAACGTCGAAACTAATTGTAGTACAAAGTTTCTAATTAAAAAAACAATTAAAAAAATATATACCGAGATATTTTTATAAAAATACTCGTTGGTGATGAGTGTCATGCAGGAAATATGAATAGAAGATTGAGTTATATTGTCTAGAGAAAGTTATGATTTGGAATTTATTAAGATTAAGTCTCAAACCAAAAAGTTCTATCCAAGTGAAAAATATATTAATTTCTGATTGAAGAGAAAGAGACAGGTTTCCTGATTATCAATTTTTAAGTACCTTATATCTTTATATCATCGGAAAAAAGTATAAAATTTACATTTATAATCCATTTTTGTTTATAGTATTAAAAAGTAAAACAATTATTAATTATTAAAAATTATTTATGAATAATTAAAAAACTTTCACTTTTTTACTATTTTCATTATTTATGACTATAATTAATACAATTCTATTGCCGATTGCAAAAATGATTTTAACTTAAAATATTATGAAACACTATCATAAATCAAGTAATTTAATGGCAGAAATATTAAATGTTTGGGTTTTGAAACTTTTGTTTGATGTAAAAGAATTAATATAACTCATTTTATTTATTTTTTTATTACATTTTTTTTACTATTACTATTACTACTTAAGGAAATCTAGAAAAATATTTTGGAAAAAAATATTGAATTTAACATTTTAAATAATTAAATAGTTAATACAAATATTCTTATAAAAAAAATGTAATACATAGTTTAAATGTAAAAATCAAATAATGAGAAATAATTTATTAATGCTTAATACTTTAAAAATTAATCATGTTATTAATAATATAAAAAACCCATAACAATAGTATTTAATGTTTTATTTAAATAGGTACTTCAAGTAAAGTATCAGTGAGTTTTATATTCTTCCGGTTTCTTTTAGTTTTTGACCAAGCTAGATTAGCTGATAATGAATATGCAGTCATAAGCCCACGATTTTGTATAGCCCCCTTACACAGTTCATGCTCTTTATCATACTGAATCTATTTCCTTCCTTCAAACTCCTATTTTCGTTTTTTATGGTTATCTATGTTCCATGGTCTTATTAAATTAACAAATCAACTGATTACAATAGCAACTGTTAACTGTGGACTTTTATTGTTTTTATTATTTAAGATACCTCTAATAATTATTTTACGTTACATAATTTTTGCTATATGTTCTTTTCAAAATTTAAACATTTTTAACATAAAAAGAGTTTTATTTAACCTTTACTCAGTACAACTTTTTGATTAAATAGAAGAATTCATAACAATATTATAATCTACTAGTGTTATTTAGTTAATTTAAATATTTTAATAATAATTATATAAAACAATAAGCAAATAGAGTATACGAAGATTAAGAGTTTGAAAAGCAAAACTCAAAAACCGATAGGTTGAATAATTATAGGATCAAACGATTGCTGCAGCCTCTAGCGGTATAGCGCCTAAGCTCATACATTTACAACCCCGCGAAGGTTAGGCAAATAAACACGCTGCTCACTGTTGTAAAATAATTTCATCACGCCATTATCAATGTATATTAATATCAACATGATAATGATAGTATTAAATAATTTGTTATATTAAAATTAAAGGTAAAAATTACATTCATAATACATTTTTATTTAAATGTAAGTAACTGCTAGTCCAAATTAAGAGGAAAAAGCATAGCCCCCAGGCCTCAAAAATTAAGATTTTTAAGAGTTTAAATTTTAAATAAACATTAAGAATATTAAAATATTTAATAAAATAAGTTCTAAAAACACCCAACAATGTATTATTTAGGAATCCAAAATTAAGAGTACAAAATGAATCTGTAAATAGGCATTATTATAATTAGATATAAAAAAATTAATAATTAACACATTTAAGTTTAAGGAATATTTTTTGATAAAAATGCCAACCAGTTAATTCATCCTGGCAACTATTAAAAAAGAAAAAAGACAACTGCTGCTGGGTATTCATAACTGAATACACAAAGCTTAGTCCACAAGTCACTAATATCTTAATTCAGACTAGGATATCTTAACATTCCTAACTATTCCATGTAATATAATACAAACATTTTTTCATTTTTATTTATTTATAAAAAATTATTTACATCATTCCAGTTAAAAAAAGTATTAAATTAATTCTAAGATTCGTTAGTTATGTATAAACTCTAAACCCTCAATACAGGAAATGAACAAAAAGCCATTTACCAACCCATACCCCGACACAGTTCATAATTTCACCCAAACATTACGTCCACTTTATTTTATTTCAAATCAAGTACTATGTCAATAAAGGTGTCCATACATATAACCACTATTAAAAATAATTGTTAAAAATCATGGATTGCGACCTACCAACTGATCTTTGCGATACAAATGAAAATTTATCACTGGTATCAATGCTATACACATTCGCATTAATAATTTATAAAAATTGTATGCTTACTAAAAATGGATCGAAAATTATTAATACATACACTTACGCTTTATACAATTACACTTAAAAATATTATAAAAAATAATACAATAAATATGTTGTACTCCTTAAAAATGATATACTTACATTATGTATCCAAGCATTGCTATCCAGAGGCCAAGAAATTATTAAGCGTCTCTAGGTGATTTTCATTCGCTTAACTTACATCTTCTTCAACAAAGCATTTGCTATACCGCTGTATATAATCAATTTACCCCACCTCTTATGGTTTAGTTCAATTAACATTAAGATTGAAAATGTAGAATATATACTAACATAGTTATATAATATTATACTAATCTAACAAAACACAAAAGATTTAAACCAATCAACTAATATACAACAATTATTATCTCAAAAATTACTGGGCCTTTATGTTGAACGGCATGTATGTACCCGAATACAATATAATATCGAATTAAATGAAGTATAACATAAATTAAAATAGACTCAACAAGTAATTTTGATCCATGAAAAACTGGTTTGAACAATTATAGTTAGAGACGCAAATAGTTCATAAACCCAGATTATAAAACTAAATACCATACTCTTTTTTAAAGAAACAAAAGTTTCAAATTCACGCATGCTTGAATATTGTATTATTTATTAAAATGTACGGAGAAACCATTAAAAAGTCGAAAAATAAATCTTTGAGAGACGATTTAATATCGAGTTTAATAGTTTCATTAAACATGTAGATTTTCTACAATTAGCACTTCATCATGAAAACTTATTTCCTTAATAGAGAAAAAATGATTGATTTAGTACTTCTATATATGCATCCTTTCAAGATTGAATTATATTTAGTTATTTATACTTGCGTTTATTAATCATTTTATGTACATCATTTTCAACTTCTAAAATTGTCAAATTAATTTTAATTTACTTCGATAAGTAATTGAAGAGCCACATCAGTGACTATAAACGTTTCAAAAAAAAAAATGTCCTCCAAAAACGTAAATTATTAAAAATAAAATATAAATAAGCTAATAAGCGATAAACCGACAAAAATATGAAAATTGAAAGTCGAAAAATTATTAATCATCTACATAAAATTACCTTATTTGTTAAACAAAACAAATTGTGTTATTAATACTTTTCAAAATTCATGGTATATCGGATGTACTCAGACTAGTTAACCCCAAATTAAAGAAACCAGTTCTGGGGCAGTTCTACTATAATAACTAAAATTATAAATGTATAAAAAATATTATAAATAATAAAATTAGTACCATGCAAATAATTTTACATCAATAACTTATTGTTAATTAAATACAATAGAGAAATTAAGGTTTATATGTAAGAAATTATATGAAATATAATAATAAAGAAAGTACACACAAAATATATTATTATTAACTATTGAAAAAACTTTGCCATATTTCGAAAGAAATTTTAAAATATTCTTTAAACTCTAAATATTATAAACAAGCCTAATTATTAAAATAAATACTAATTGAGCTTGCCTAAAGAATTGAAACTTACATTTTTTTTTTTTTTTAATTAAAATATTTAAAAACAACTTAGAAGTCCTTTAATTAATTGCACTTTAATAAACTTCAATCTTATATAATATCTGATTATAAAACATATATTTCAATGTAATTTTATTTAGTTTTACTAACAAAGTAATATTATTATTAAATTAATTGTACATATATCTTGATTATTAATTCATTTTTATTATGCTTCAATTAATTGTTTTAAATTCTAAGCAAAGCAATTTATTGATTACACAAACCATATTTTTTTAAAAATTGAGAAATTGAAAGGATTAGGATGCTCAGAGTTCCAAAGAATAACTGGACATTTTATAGAAGTTAATATACTATCAAAAAATTGCTATAAAATTATAATAAAAAGTAATTTTAGAGCAAATTTACTTTAACATTTTAAATATTTAAAAATTAATTAATGTAAATGCTTAAAAAAACACTTAAAATTATATATCTAAACGAGTAAAAATAATATATTTCATACAATAAAAAATAATAAAAGCATTTTCAAACTTAATATTGATAGTTGGTTAATTTTTTTTTCTGTTTATATAATATTAAGAAACCTCAGAAATTATTAAATTTAGTAATAAAGTTCAAACTTAATTTAATTTACAAATAACCATTTAAAATAGTTAATTCAAATATATATTACTATTTTAATATAAAATGGCTTACTAGCAAATGAAAATATATTGAACAATCTCATGAATTTTATTTTTAATTCAATAATTTTAGAATATTAAAACTAATTGCAGCACTTTGTTTTCTTAGTAATACTTGGAAAAGTTTTAAACAAGATAATTTATCTTTTCTTTGAACTATGTAAGTAAACAATATGACTTAACATATCCAAACTAAACAAGGTATGAATTATGTCATCCTACTGCAATGGTACTCATGAGTATCTTATCTGGGGGAGCGAAGCATCAAAGATCGACACATACCTTATCTTTATATCCTGTCACCTACTTAACTTAAAATCTATGTAATCATACATTATATTCATAATGTTTAATACTTCATAAAATTTATGTAAATGAAAAAGAATACAATAGTTTGAACATGCAGATAAACTATAGTATATACGAAGAGCTTAAGCAATAAGTGAAAGGAAAAAATTTTAATCAGTAGAAGGAGGTCAAATATATAAGGAAACTATGGATTTAATGGATAAGATACAACTTAGAAATAATAGGAGTATAAATTGGAAGGAAGAAATTTAGAATCAAGACAGAAAGAGGTATCGGTGGGAGTTGTTAAAATCATTGCAACATTATGAAATTGAAAACAATAGAACATGAAACAATTAATATTACTTGATGTTAGATTAAAATTAAATATATTTTATTTTATAAGTAATGATTCTTCATGAGCTTTCATCCTCTTTATTAAAAATGTCAAAGCACACACTACTACTTTAATCTTATACATTAAAAATAGAATATCATTGACATTTAAAAATGTAGAGTAGAAGTTAATTTATCCATATTGCATCATTATTAATTAAATTAATATTCCTTTAAAATATTAATAAAAATGATTGACTTTTAAAAATAGCTTTTTTGCCAATGACATCATAAACTTAACTTACAATTGGATATACCATGAGGTTCACAAATATATAAATACAGTATAAGCCGCTTATTAGGAAGACAGATAATTGACTCAGTCACATTGTTGAAATAAAATGTCTAGGGACGGATTGGCTGTATATAAAAACATTTGAAAATCAATTGAATTATTGAAACAATACATCGGTTATTTGAAACAATATGAGCCAAGGTCGTCGAAAAATTCCGGTTATTTGATGATTATTTTCATAATAAATAAAACTAATCGTTTATTAGAAACAATCAGTTAATCGAATTATTTCACCTTGTCCCAAAGGTGTTCCTAATATGCGGCTTCTACTGTACACAAAAAATTATTAATATGTTACACGTAATATGTGAATATTTTGAACATATTATTTAATACAAATAATCCATGAAAATACAACATAAATTTAAAATAAAATATTAAATAACTTTTTCAACAGACAACTATGATACTGTGAAGTTATGGGGAACTAACCAATATAATTCAAATTCTTACAATTAATATAATTTGAATGTCCAACTGTGGATAAACAATAGTATAATAAACATTGGAATTCTAATTAAAACAATTTCAAACAATAATTCTTTTGGAGTTTTTACCCTACGATAGAATTCCATCGATACAATTATTCCATACTTGTATCATAAATTCACTACCATTCAGTAGAGTTGAAAGCTTTATGGAGTGTTATTAAGTTTTTTAAACAATACTAAAATATATTAAAAATTAAGAAAAACTGTAATAAATTTGTTTTTAATACATCCAAAAATGTAAAATAATTAACTAGATCATATCCTAATGATTTTAATGAAGTTATACAACTAATTATAACACTGATATTATATCAAACAATTGTTGAAGAACCATGTTTATAATATGTTAATATAGAAATATATTATACTTTCAAACCATATGCAGTCCCAGAAAACTTAACTTCAGGTGCATCACATTTAATTTTCATATTTAATTTACGTAATACTTATACATAATACACATTTATACATTTCTTATCACACGCATATAAACTTCATTCAATTTTCCTTCTCAGAATTTTAATTTTATTTAATTTAATTTATTATAATCAGTTAATTTTTAAAATGTATTACAATTATTAAATATAACACTATTCAGTGTGTTGTATCTCTCAGTATTTTACAACTCTTTATTAGCCTTCACAAGTATCCACATTATTTTTTTGTAGTTTAACAAATAATCAGTGAATCTGATTTTATTTCAGCCAATTTTGATTTAAGTTTGTTTTTAACAATATTCATTATTATGAATCAGCGTTCCTAATTACAATTTGTAATAGGTATTGTTACAAATAAGTGTAGAACTTTAGAAAAGTTAGAAAAAATTTCTATTTAGTAAAAATCTTGTAGACAAACTGTTTGAACTAAAATATAATTTGGTATAATTGGCTTAATTTTTAATAACATTATTTTTGTGCACAAATTATCTTCACAAAAATCAAATTATTCTTTTAAAGATTTATATGATAAATTTTCATCAGTCTTCAATTTCACCAATTTTTCCAAATTAATTAATAATTTGTAAAATATTGTCACTTTCATTTCATCTGATTTTGTTTGAAAGAATGTTGATTTTGTAATATATTAATTTTTGATGTTACTTTTTTTTTCCTCTTGAGTATTTCATACTTTTCACACATTTCCTAATATGTTTGCTAAATATTTTCAAAATAATTAGCATTATTATTTATTTTATTTATATATTATATCATATATTATTATTTTGAATCAACAATGGAACCATTATTTTGTGTTAGACAACTAGTAGAGAAGTTTAAGGAAAAGAAAAAATTATGCATGGTGGTTACAGATTTAGAAAATATGAATGACAAAGTGCTAAGAGAAATTTTAAAGTGGGCATTAATAAAAAAAAAAGTCCCAAAAATATATATACAAATTGATTCAGGATATATATGAAGGCTCGAGAACTAATGTAAAGAGTTTGTATAGCGTAAAATTTTAGTGTAAGATTTTGCATGTATCAGGGGTCTGTCCTTATTTGTTCTCTATGGTAATTAATGAAGTTACGAAAAAGATACAGGATGAGATACCATGGTGTATGATGTTTGCTGATGATATAGTTTTGGTAGAAGATCTGGGAGAAGTTAATAATAAATAGGTTGGATGAGTGAAGGTTAGCTCTTGTAGGAAAAGGATTAATAATT